ACTCTCAATGACTAAGTCAGTATTGTATTGAATTTATACTTGACATCTCAGTTGAAATACGGCATCTCTTTTTGCCAACTATCAACTAGCACTGTGCTAAGTCATTAGTTTTCCCCAGGGAGCACTGGGTGTGGATTCATAATACCATTTCCTCTGGCACCATCCCTGAGACATAACCAAAAGTCTCCTATTCAAATTGAAAGCTAGCCTACTCCTTCCTAGTTTGAAATTATGTATAATATTTGCCCTTGGAAACAGGGAAAGGATTATCAAAAGACTATTTGGATAATACTAGTTTATTGAAGCAGAACACTTTCCACCAAGAATTTATACTTTACAGATCCTCTCATATCAACCTTTACAGCTCTTTGAAAGAGATGGCATGATTTTGACACTCCTGTTTTGAAAACAATTTACAGGTTATCTGAAGATTTATTATGTTTCTAAAATTAACTTATAAAAACCAAGGAAGTGGTCAATTTGCTCCTTATTTCCTGTGAAGAGCATGCACACATTTCATTCATTATAGTTAAGAAACCAGAATTGAAACTGAGGGAAATAAAAGCAGATTAAAATGGACAGCTGAATGAAAGAGGAAAAAAACAATTACTAGAAGGACTTTAGATCAACTGTAGATGGAATAGACCAACTAGATTATAACTATCTATATCACTTTAATAAATGGAAACAGCCTTTTACACCTTTTAGGTGTTGGTATTGGTATTGTTCCCTGTATGAGTAAAGGAATATAGAAAGAGTTGAGACTGGGTACAGCAAGACTGAATTCTAGATTCAAGATTAATTTATATTATGTATGAGGTACTGGGAAGTTACTTAATCTCTCAAGGAGTCTCACTTTACTCATCTATAAGTATAAATAATAACACCTATTTTATAGGGTTTTGGGAAAATTAAATGAGAATTTGCATCTAGTAGAATGTCCAGCATATGGTTCATACTCTGAATCTTTATAACAATATCATCTCTCTGTACATGTTATTAATAAACATTTGATATATGAATATATTTTGCAGCAATTTCAAAAATTGTGTTGAATAATAAATAAGAGTATTGCTAATAATTTTTATGTTACAAGGGAGTTTTTAGGCATTTGAAAACCCTTGTGGTATTAGAAGTTCTAGGATATGGAAAAAGAGCATAGATGATTTTTGGAGGTTGTTCTATTTATTATATATAATAATTTGAGAAGTTCTCTTTAGTGGAAAAAGCTAACCCCTAAATTGGGTTTTCAAGAGCATTTTATTATGCTCTTCCAGTTCCAGATATCATTTGTCAAGAATCTTTTTTTTTTTT